TGGTCAGTGTGACATAACAATCTGTCGAGCTCCTTTCCTTGAACTGTGCTCTCATCCAACAACCGCCTGCTGGGCACATCCTCTAATAATCTGATTGCTGAATCTGTTTCACCTGCAGAATCCTCTTTTAGATCACTGACAATGGCTCCTTTTGACAGTTCAGCAGCGCCACACTTAGGCACATCATCAACAGAACACTTCTGTGTCCTGGGCCTAGAGTTAACATCTGCAGCTCTGTCGACTGGTTTCTTGTCTGAGAGATTACTACAAGCATCAACAGTGCAATCAGATTCTGGCATAACTGTTGGCTCTGGCTGTCCTGAAGAGCTCTGTGCCACTTGAATGCTACTGATAATGGTGTCCTTTCTATTAAATTTAGCAAATGCTGAGATGACTTTGTCTCTCAAAGTTATACTGTCTGCTAAGTTAGTCGATTCTTTTATGGGTTTTGTATTTTTTACAGAAATTATCTGACTGCTCCCGTGAGTTGTGACAGAAGAACTGCCATTTTGAAAATTGTCACATTGGAACTTTAGAGATTCTTTAAGTGAATTTGTAGGCAGTCTTTCATCTTCTGTACTCAGCATATTCAACAATTTATGATCTTCAGTTTTATTAGAAGATTCAAGATCAGACTGAATTCTGTGATAATTCACAAATTCATGGCGATTTGCATGCACGCTGTGATTTCTCCTGAAATCTACGTGATCACGGTGATTTCTTGGGCACTCCCAAGGTTTACTCCAATTTTTCTGGTAATCTCCACATTCATTATACTTGTTGCTTGTGCCAGCACTGTTGCAAATTTTCTGGTAACCTTCATGATCAATGTGATTTTTCTGGTAATCCCCATCATCTCTGTGATTTTTCTGGTAACCCTCACGATCACTGTGATTTTTCTGGTAATCCCTATGATCAGTGTGATTTTTCTGGTAATCCTCATGATCAATGTGATTTTTCTGGTAACCCTCATGATCACTGTGATTTTTCTGGTAATCCCTATGATCAGTGTGATTTTTCTGGTAATCCTCATGATCAATGTGATTTTTCTGGTAACCCTCACGATCACTGTGATTTTTCTGGTAATCCCTATGATCAGTGTGATTTTTCTGGTAATCCTCATGACCAATGTGATTTTTCTGGTGACCCTCATGATCACTGTGATTTTTCTGGTAACCCCTATGATCAGTGTGATTTTTCTGATAACCCTCAAGATCACTGAGATTTTTATGGTAATCCTCATGATCAATGTGATTTTTCTGGTAATCCTCATGATCAATATGATTTTTCTGGTAACCTTTATGATCAATGTGATTTTTCTGGTAACCCTCATGATCACTGTGATTTTTCTGGTAACCCCTATGATCACTGTGATGTTCCTGGAAATCCCCATTTTCTCTGTGATGTTCCTGGTGACCCTCGTGATCACTGTGACTTGTCTGGTAATTCCCATGTCTTTTACGATTTTTTGGGTAATCTCCATATTTACAGCGATTTTTCTTGCAATCCCTTTGTTCATTCTGATTTTTCTGGTAACTCCTACATTTACTGTAATCTCTCCTGTTGCCTACAAGTCCATTCTGACGTATTTTATAATTCCAAGGTTTGTTGTGATATTTTTGGCAATCCCTGTGTCCAGTGTGATTTTTCATGGATTCTACACATCCGCTGTGATTTCTATGGTGATCAACATATTCATTTTCCTTTGCCCCATCTTTGCTTAAACAATGTTCACAAACTCCTACTAGATGTTCATCAGGGTTAGACTTCTCACTACGCCCAATTACATTTACATCTCTGTTTACAAGATTCCTTTTTTGAACAGAATCTGAACAAGATTTGAAATAACTCCAAGAGTCTTCCTGTGAATATTCTGAATCAGCGAGCTGTCTGTTCACGTAATTATTTCTCTGAATTTTTCTGCCTAAATCTTTTAAATATCTGGATCCATTACCAGGCCAGGCAACATCTTTCCTAAAAACCATCGTCTCCACACATCTACTGTTATCTGGCAACTGAGGTATGCCGTCTGCTTGCAACATTTTTAAAAACTCTTTCTGAAAATCTGCATCAGATGGCTTCTTATCTAACTCTTCAGATGACTCAACGAGATTGGAGGAAAATTCGCATGTATTAACAGAATGCCTTCTAACAATTCTAATCTTTACTTTTGGTACTTCTTTCACCAAGTGATACTTTCCTTCTATTTTTTTCTTCTGTCTTTCATTCAGTCTACGCCTGCGCCTATGTTTACTGTGATATTTGTTATGGCTTTCCGTGGTCTTCCTTCTGCAAATACGAAAGCTGGGGTTATCTGTGTTCCCTGCATGCTGTTCAAGTTTCCTCCCTTGCGCTCTAGAAAAACTGACATTGCCATTGTTCTGGTGTGTGTCTACAAGAGCATATTCTGCAATTTCTCTGTCAAAATCACCGAGGCATGTAACTTTGTAATCATCTGCCAAAAGATGCCCTGAGTTAGCACCATCATCAACAGCACAATGATTACTGTCTGTAATTTCACTGCCGTCATCAGATCTGCATTTTTTTATGCCGCCATTATAATCAACATTTTGATGAAATGTCCTATCAACATCAAAAAGATGTCTATGCAATTTCCTGACATCAAAATCAGGAGCTTCTCTGTTAAATGTTTCATCACTGTCAACATCAGAAACACCTTTGCAAAACATCCCATAATCAATATCAGAAATACCTTTGAGAAATGTTCCATTAACATCAATATCCGAAACACCTTTGTGAAATGTCCTATTATTGTCAAAATCCGAAAGACCTTTGTGAAATGTCCTATTATTGTCAACAACAGAAACACCTTTGTGAAATGTCCTATTATTGTCAAAATCTGAAACACCTTTGTGAAATGTCCTATTATTGTCAACATCAGAAACACCTTTGTGAAATGTCCTATTATTGTCAACATCAGCAACACTTTTGTGAAATGTCCTATTATTGTCAACATCCGAAACACCTTTGAAAAATGCCTTGTTAACATCAACATCAGAAACATCATCGTGAAATGTCCTACTTTTGTTAACATCAGAAACACCTTTGTAAAATCTTCTATTAACATCAACATTAGGAACACCACTGTGTAATGTTCCATTATTTTCAACATTAGAATCATCTTTTTGAAATATCCTTTTATTTTCAATGTCAGCGACACCTTTGTGAAATTTCCCGCTGTTCTTAACATTAGAAATACCTTTGTGAAATTTCCCGCTGTTCTTAACATTATAAATATTTTTGTGAGATTTCCTATGAACATAAAAATCAGAAATACTTTTTTGAGATGTCCTGTTAACATCAAAATCAGAAATACTTTTGCAAGATGTCTTAAATTCATCACCATAATCACCTTTATGAAATGTCTTATTAACATCAAAATCAGACACATCATTTTGAAAAGTTCTGTTATTATCATCATCAGAAACACCTCTGTGAAATGTCCTATTCATACGAACATTCAAAGTTCTTTCATTTCGTGTCTCTCTGGAATCAGAATCAAAATCACTACCAGCATATGTCCTACTAACATGAGAAACACCCTGATAGCACATCTTATGGGCACCAACATCAGAAACATCACTAGAGAGAGAAACACCCTGATAGCACGTCTTATGGGCACCAACGTCAGAAACATCACTAGAGAGAGAAACACCTTGATAGCACGTCTTATGGGCACCAACATCAGAAACATCACTAGAGAGAGAAACACCTTGATAGCACGTCTTATGGACACCAACATCAGAAACATCCCTAGAGAGAGAAACACCTTCATAGCACGTCTTATGGGCATCAACATCAGAAACATCCCTAGAGAGAGAAACGTCTTGAGAGCACATCTTATGGACACCAACATCAGAAACATCACTAGAAACAGTTTTGTCCGCATCAGAACTGGAAACAATGTGCACTGATGCCGAGTCGTCCTGTTGTTCAGAAAATCTATAATCGTTATCTGGCCAAGTATTGAGGATGCTGCCATTTGCATAATTATTATTTCCTCTACCTGTTAGATCACAAGTTAAAACATTGTTCTGACATTTTAAACGACACAAATGACTTGAACATGTGCCAGGTTGTACTGCAGATTCAACCTGGTGGTTAGAAGTTCTGGAATTGTTATCCGAATAAGTATTAATGACGCTGTGATTTGTATCATCGCTACTGTCATTATTAGTTAATGTCAAAACATTGTTATGAAATGGTAAACACAGATCACTCGAACGCATGCCAGGTTGTACTGTAGATTCGTTATGAACATGCTTACAGCCAGACATGCAGAGGTTACTGTTGGGGGTTGGGGAAACATGCAGCGATTCAGGGTTAGTTCTAGTACAGTCATGCAAGTCACAACAACGATCAAGGTTAGAACTACAAGCAGAGACGGAAGGGGCAGGGATGTGATCAGAATGAGCAGTGTTGTAATTTAAGCAGGGTTGATGTGAGGAATCTATGAAGAGAGATGAACTGCCGAAGGCTTTATCTTTCTTCCAGGAATATTTCAAGTATGAAGCACTTCTGAATTTGCCGCTTCTCTGAGAGGATAAAAGAGTTTGCTTGTGCTTAAAATTTCTCCAACTGGAAAATTTGCGGCGGGATTGTCTGAACTTGGGAAAAGTTTGTAAGGGTTGATGGTGGGGTGGTGGAGGTTCTGGGGTGTTAACTTTGTTTCTGCAGGTAGGAATAATGTAGCTAAAAGATTCAGAGTTGATGCTAGCAGAAGTGAGACATGCTGAGCTGGGATAGAGTGAGGTTGAGGACTGGTTACCTGTTTGTGGTGATGTAGCAGGTGATCTGGAGGAAGGTATGATGGGTACTGATGAGGGCGAGGAGTTGCGTGAAGATGCCAATGAAGCTACTGTTGATGAGGAGACTGACAATGTGTGGGGAGCAGAGGATGACAAACAGACCAGCCTGTCTAATCTAGTGCATTTGGGCGTACGAAAGCTGGGAAAAGCAGAACCACTGTTGCACGTTACCTTGGTGGTTGCAGTCCTTGATGGAACTGTTATCCGTCGTTTTCTTTTAGAAGCACCACACAATGAAGTGCTTGACAAGGACGAGGATCGGGAGGACGTACTCTGGCTGGCTGGAGACCCAAAAGGCTGCTCGGTCGATGAAAACTTGGAAGGGCTACATACCAGAGGTGAGAATTTGTACGTTGAGCTCATGTGTGACGTGGAGGAGAATAAAGATGGGGGAGTAAACTCCCCTGGCCTGATGCCGCTGGTTTTAGACGGGGACGGAGACTTCTCTGGAGTGAAGTAGAACTTATTTCTATACTGACAAGGTGTGTTGTTAGTAAGCTGCGACGCTGGAAGCAGGCAAGAGGAGGAAACCGGAAACCGAGTCAACGACGATGATGAAGAAGAAGTTGATACCTTGCGTTGTAACCCTTGCCGCAGGCTAACGATACCGCGAGCTGTTTCAGGAGTGCCGGCACTGGCCCGGGCAGCAGAACGTCTTGCCAGCGAACCTCCACCGCTGCGTCTGGTCTGGGGAAAAAAACAACACTGGTTGGTTTTACAATACAGGAGGATGCAGCTGTCTCGCTAACCAAGATCAGATCTTCTTCGCGTTCATCAGCTGTAAACTGGCAGAAAGTTCTGGTTGTTCATCCACTTCTGGACCACAGTCATGTTCGAGAACCTGAGTGTTGCATGTGCATCCGTTTTACAGATCTGACTCATTTGTATGCAGACTGCTGGTTCCTTGCCTCTCAGGCAAATGCACTCTGACTTTGAAGGAAGCTCCTTATTAGTCAGTTCTTATGACATACTTTTTGATTGGCAGTGGGTCTATTCTTTCCCTATAACAGGGTTCCGGAACCCACACGGGGATCAGATATTGTGTTTCACCGGAAAGAAAAAAAAACCAGGTTTTATATTAATTTGTCCATCCAAAAATGACCAGGGCTTATTTTCGGAGGATATGTCTTATTTTTTTTCAGATAAAAAAAATCTGCATTTATTCAAATGCAGTCTTCTTCTGGAACATTATCAAAACTCTCATAATCCTGAATTCCGAAATGAATTTCTTGCAACACCATTTCCTGTAGAATCACTGGCCTTGGTCTTTCATTTTTTTTTTTAAAGACAACAACTTTACTAACCATTTCACACATGTTTCCTAAAGGGTTTGCTGTCTGTTTGTCAGCCAGAGCCTTGACAACGTTCTTATTCTGTTTTCTGGAGAACTTCAGGTTATCCACAAACTCAGGATCAACTCCTCTGCATGAACATCTGTTAGACCTGAGCTGGCTAATGCCATTACAACGGTTTTTTTGCTGTTTTGGTTGTGTTTGGAATGATTCTTTGACTCTCCTATTTTACCTCAACCTCTCACAGAAACGCACAGCCTCTGGGACCTTCACTACTTCTGCGGTGGAGTTTATAATAAAAACATCTGGCAAGGGCTTATTTTTGGGGTAGGTCTAAATTTCAGGGAAACGTGGTAGTTAATCTATAGTTTCATCAATGACCTTTACTGTTCCTACAGGGAAACATGGTAGTCAGTCTATAGTTACATCAATGACCTTTACTGTCCCTACAGGGAAACATGGTAGTCAATCTATAGTTACATCAATGACCTTTACTGTCCCTACAGGGAAACATGGTAGTCAATCTATAGTTACATCAATGACCTTGACTGTCCCTACAGGGAAACATGGTAGTCAGTCAATAGTTACATCAATGACCTTGACTGTCCCTACAGGGAAACATGGTAGTCAATCTATAGTTACATCAATGACCTTTACTGTCCCTACAGGGAAACATGGTAGTCAATCTATAGTTACATCAATGACCTTTACTGTCCCTACAGGGAAACATGGTAGTCAATCTATAGTTACATCAATGACCTTTACTGTCCCTACTGTCTGCATTGACCGCTTATCAAGGCACTGTAGACATAGTGGGTCATCAGCCTGAAGATTTAGGGCCACATGGCAAGTGTTGTCGCCACGCACTGTGCAGGTAAGAATGTTTATTTTAATGATCAGTGTAATCACTGTAACTATAGATAAAACAGCCAGATTTAACAGTACTGCTAGCCACACACAGTTCCCATAATGTTACATCAATGATTAATATAACTATACATAAAACAGCCAGATTTAACAGTACTGCTAACCACATATAGAGTTCCTATAATGTTACATAAAATATCAATGTAACTTCAGATAAAACAGCTAGACTCGTAACAATACTGATAGCTACATGGAGTATTACAGTGTTACATCAATGATCAGGTCAAAATGGCGTGGCAGGTGGAAATAGCACTGTTCAACACAATATTCTTACCAATGCTATGCTAATGATGTCAAACATGGACACTGTCTTCAGAAGACAGAAGGAAAATAGTCATGACAGAAATGAAATGTGTATGTACTATTCTAGGTGTAACGGGGAAAGATCGTCTCATGAACAATGATATCAGGTGGAGAGTCGGTATAGAACCAATACTAAACTTTACAGGCAGACTAAAGATCAAATGGTTTGGCCATGTAACAGGAGTGGCACCAGACAGGGCACCATAGAGCAATGGTATACAGATACAAATTTTAGCAGAGCCAGAAGTCGACTACACGCAGAATATGGACCGCAGAAATAGCAAAGACACTGAAAAATACTATATAGAAAGTGAACAGAAGGGCCCGTTCCAGAGATCTCTTCCTGCCCTGACACTGCAGGGCTTTCAAAGAGTAGAGAAAAGAAGAAGAAGAAGAAGACGAAGACGAAGACGAAGAAGACATCAATGATCAATGTAACTAGAGATACACCATACAGCTAGCTTAAACAGTCCTGCTAAGCAGCCACATAGGGTTGCTTGATTGTTACACCAATGATCTATGTTTGTTACTTAGTTTATAGATCGGCTTCGTTTCACATCAAACTTTTAAGTCCAAAGTTTTCTAAACGATTATAGGCGGGACCATTAGGTAACATTTTTAGGGCAACTGGCACTTGGTGGGTGATGTGATCAATGTCACGCCAACCACCTTTGCTTCCCAGGACTGTTATCTGGTACCCTCTTGAGACCTGGTCGACCTGGCAGCGAAATGTTGATAATTAGTGACCTGTGTAAAAGGCCCTTTTGATTCCAAAGAGTTTCTGGGAGGTGAGGGGAGGGGCAAACTACAGCGACTCAGTGACAAGCCAGCGCACAGACACAAACTCAGCCAACTCACCATGGTTGGTGTTGTAACACTAGCAGCCTCGGCCACTTCATCGTTGGGGCCGCTGCCGGTGCTCGAGGAGTCTGAGGTCCTCTCTCTGGGATTTTTGTCGGCGTAGGATCCCGACTTGGAGCCTTCCTGGCATGAGGGCGGCTCCTCCAGGGAGAAGTTGAAGAAATCCAAATGTGCCGGAAGGATTGAGGATCCTGTCAACAGAAATATTACAATTACTGTTCAAGTAAAAAGCAGGAGCCACTGTGGTGTAGTGGTTAGACGCTCCACCTGCCGACCTGAAGGTTGTTGCTTTGAATCCTCATTGAGTCAGCTTATTTCAAAAATGACCTTGGCACCCAGGTTTACAGCAGCATGCGTGGCTTAGGCGTTGCGAGATCGACTCGTAACCCTATGTACCGCGATCAAAACCCACTGCTAGCTGCGTGGATTTTTATCGTAGTATGGGGCGTCGCAGATCGACCCAGCCTAAAATGGGTACCAGGATGGCTGTCCTGGGGAAGTAAAGACGGCCAGCGTAATTCTGACCACATTACCCACCGAGTGCCGATTGATCTGTAAAAATATGGGACGCTCTGCCCATATACCCGATGCGACTTAGGCGTAGTAAGGGATCTTTACTTTATTTTAATACCCAGCCCAGCCTGAAACAGGTGCCAGGGAAAGTGCTGGAAGTAAAGGCAGCTGGCAGGATGTTGACCTCACTGCCTTTTGATGGCAAGTAGGTCTATAAAAAATATAAAGCTAGCCCGATGTCCCATCGGCATGAACAAGACCTTTTACCTTAAACTAAAAAGGCCCTTTTGACCTCAGTGACCCACAGCCCACTGGGCAGATGGTGCTGTGCATATTTATATAGACCAGTCAGCACTCAGTGGCTGATGTAACCACCAGGACACCAAATTGAAGGGGGCGAAAAACGAATCAACGACTTTATGCAATGTGAGGCACAAACACACACCAACCGTAAACTAATTTCTAGGTTCTGATATGGTATAATGTTTTATATCGAAGAGCGCTGATCAATCAAAATACTGTCAATAAAATCAGTAAAATGTCAAAATGACTGTGCACCTAATGGATGCAATAGAAACCAAGATAAACAGCTGCCATACTGATTTATAAAAAATGTTCTTTCAGCATCTCAGAACAAATTCTAAGTTTACTGATCACTCTACTTTCGGGGAAAGTGTCTAGCCGAGCGGTTAGGAACACACAGCCGATGAGCATTTAAGAGCAGTGGGTTTTCCTGTGTGCAAACCACTGTAACAGGACATGAGATGCCAGATAAACTGGTCAAAGAGGGAACTCCCGAAAAACAGGATCCCCATCCCATCACAGCGAGAGGTGAATAAACTGATCAAGGAAAAGTATAGACATTCCTGGAGACAGAGAACAAACAGCCAGATAACCCAATCAACAGACTAAACAGAAGGCAGAACTTGACAATTTGGGGAGGGGGGGGGGGGCAAAGAATAAGAAGACATGGCAGACTAACAAATCCCCCTGTGGGTTCCGGGGCCCTACTGTAGGGAAATCAAAAACAGACCCACTGCCTACCCAAAAGCATGTCATAAGAGTCAACTAATTGGGAGCTTCCTTCAAAGTCGGAGTGCATCTGCCCGAGAGGCAAGGAGCTAACAGTCTGCACACGCAACTACACTCAGGTACTGGACTGCAGTCCAGAAGTGGGCGAACAACCAGAACTTTCCCCCAGAGTTTACAGCTGGTGATTGCAAAGAAGAAGAAGACACACGTTCACAGAATAAAGGATGCAAAATCTGCCCAGTGTCCCTGCCAAACTGCACTCCAAACACCTGAGCACGTACAGCAGAACCTACAGCTACAGAAAACTCATACGAGAAAACATATAGCCAGAAGGAATAGGCGTCCAGAACAAACTTGACAACCTTTGGAGGTTTACTGCAGACGTGCCAGTTCATAGAAGCAACACGACTGATAACCTGAGCATATCAAACCTATCACATGAAAGAAGAATCCTGGGGAATATGGTGGCATGTCAATTTATATTTAACAATAACATAACATAACAACCCTTGACCCGTATGGGTCGTAGAGGTGTACTGATAGAAGCACTAGCCCACAAAAGCCGCTATCTTTCTCTGTCTTCCGGTTGATAAGTAAGTGTATGGTAGCTTAGTTGTATCCATTTCTTCATGTTGTCCTTCGAGTTTCTTCTTTGCCCTCCTCTATTTCAACTACCCTCCCTATATTCCTTCAAGTACAGTCTCTGCAATCAAACCATGTCTGAGCGCATGCCCGAACCAAGCTAGCTTGCGACGTTCCACCACTGCCAAGCAGGTTTCTGATTGCAGCACATGATTCCAGTATTGGATCACAGTCTGAAGAGACTGGTGACACATGATTCCAGTATTGGATCACAGTCTGAAGAGACTGGTGACACATGATTCCAGTATTGGATCACAGTCTGAGGAGACTGGTGACACATGATTCCAGTATTGGATCACAGTCTGAGGAGACTGGTGACACATGATTCCAGTATTGGATCACAGTCTGAGGAGACTGGTGACACATGATTCCAGTATTGGATCACAGTCTGAGGAGAGAGGTACTGACTGAACCCTGCACAGGCTGGGATATGGAAATGTACCAAGTGCTATGATCTTAGTTTTTTTACCATGTTGCCCAGTAAAAATCTGTTCTTTCGTAATAAGTCACCACAGATGATGTCACATGGACAGCCCAATATATTATAGGGGGATAAGACCGGGTTTCCCAGCTTTGTGATGCTTTTAAATACTCAAAAACATCTAGAACTGCAAGTAACACTAACCCATGACTGCATGCAGCCTATCTACCATCACCTGAAATACTGGACTGTCTGTCTGGGGTGACTTATTACGAAAGCACTTAAAAAACTTTTTCAAAATCACATTGTTTTCACACACACACAAACAATTTAGCTAGAAATGCATCGTTGTGATTCTTCGAAACTCTGCATAAGAAACTAGAGAAGAAAAAGCAGCAGAGTCTTAGAGTCTTGGTCAGTTGATGAACTCTGAACATTCCCACTTACACTTCATCTTCTTATAACCTGACTCGTGTTGCTGTTTAGTAAGATGCTGTTTACATTGACGGAAGATACAATGTCAGAGGAAACGTGAAGAGATGTATGAATACAGAATTAAGTGTGGATCCAACAAGGAAGGATGTATGAGAAGACAGAAGATAAAATGTCAGATGGAACATGTGTGAATACAGAATTAAGTCTGGATCCAACAAGGAAGCATGTATGAGAAGACGAGGTGACTGAAGATAAAATGTCAGATGGAACATGTGTATGGTTCTGTGAAAACAGAATTAAGTCTGGATCCACATGTGTATGGTTCTGTGAAAACAGAATTAAGTCTGGATTCAACAAGGAAGGATGTATAAAAAGAGTGCGATGTGTGTACACCCAGTGTGTACTGGAACAACCAGCATTTAAACCTTCACTCTTTTAGTACCACGGAACTCAAAATATCCACTGGTTACTCCTTGCATAGTACATATTTGTTAATTTTTCATATTCCATTCTTCTGTTATGTTTAACCTCTTAATATTTCAATTGATTCTATCATGACTTCTCTCCCAAAACATTGTTCAGTTCTGTGAGTTCTGTTGCTCTGACTGACTGGCACCTTTTCAGACGATTTTGTTATATTGTGCTACAAGGAGGTACGGGACTCACAGCCCATGGCGATTGCAAGTGTAACTAGCGAGACCTGTCCGCGTTAAGAAAGGTCTTTGACTATTACAGTATGGAATGTCAACTCTTTTGTTTAGTGTGTTTCTTCTCAGATGCTCACTAAGGTACACAAAATATTAGCACAGACACTGCTGAAAGACATCTGCCTCATGATATGGAACATCTGTAGGTGGCTGTCAAATGTATCATGTTGATTTTTAAATCAGCAGTGTGTCCGCAAACAGCCCTATCTCTTGTGCACTTTCAGTTTGCGGTTTAAAAAATGGATCAACATCATAGCACACGGGTAGTAACCCATAAATGCTCCATTCTTCTTCTAATTCAAGTCAGAGTCCAAAGAAGCTCAGCACAGTGCACAGGCTCCGTAGCACCGACAAGGATCCTGAAATACTTTGGGTAGATTTTTAACTCCAAATTTTGCCCAGGCAAAATTTGCCAGAACTACCAATGCAGGTGTTAAACATGATAAGAACTGAAAGCAAGAGGCTGTCCTGGGAGAAGATTGGACTGATGACAAAGAGCTGCTACATCGACATGGAATGACAACAGCCATTGTTGCCCATCAAACAATGGATCGCTAATTGTTCCTTCTCACGCCGCTAAACGACAGAAGTGGACATTGATGATGATAATGACGAATTATAAGGACAAATTGATCAGATCTCTGTAAACTTCTAAGGTAAGGTTGTTTATGTTTGCCTCTAATCTTGTTGTTCTCCAAGGTTTATAACATGTCTGCACAAGCAAGAATGTTTCTCCTTATTTCTTCCCCCCCCCCTCTCTCATCCCATGTTTACAACAGCTGGAGACACAGGCCTTTTCCCGTGCATACTTGCTCGGTGACTCAAATCTTCATGTTCACCGGCTGTAAACTTAGGCAGAAAGTTCTCAGTTTATCTACTTCCAGACTTTAGACTGCTTCAGAACCTGAGTGTTGCGTGCACATCCGTTTTACAGATCTGACTTGGTGTGCACACTGCTGGTTCCTTGCCTCTCAGGCAGATGCACTTTGACTTTGAAGAAAACCCTGAAGAAAACGGAGTCAAAAGCGGTTGGGGCTGACATATCTGTGTTGTATTCATGTCTGACTGACTGATTTTATACTAAATCAGTAGATTTATGACATGCTTGTTTGGTGGACGAAGGGTCTTGCCTGGATATGTCTCATGTCTTCAACCCGGTTCTTAATTTATAACGTACCCAACACGAAATCCCTGTAGGAAATCCACAGCTGACCTGACAGTCTATTTCAAGGGGTGAAAGTGCTGTTGTGAGTGTTTACCTAGTGTCTAATGCTAACCCTAACCTTGGCTGTAGATAAATCGCGAGAAACTACAACCTGAACACCCTAGAATTTATTGGGAATGTCTCCCGTGACGTCAGGGGTAAGTTATAAATTAAGTACCTTCATCCCTCTTGAATTCCTCCCCTTTTATGTTAATCCCCCCCCCCCCCCCCCAAACA